TTTTTTTTTAGCTTTTATAAATAAATTGAGAGCTTTCAAAGAACTAAATGAATTAGTTACATAAAACATGAACAGTAAACTTTAAAATCATTAGTTTGCTTAAACATTATCCTACTTCAGAGCTGTCCAACTTCAGAGCAGCCAGGAGATACATTCTGCAAGGGGCATGCATACTGAGCTGCACAGCACCCCCTCTGAATCAGCGGCATTAGCTCACCTCCACCAGCATTATACGAGACCTCTCCTCTCCACTGCCACCCCCACTCAAGCCACATGAGTGAACCCCCAACTGCTGCCACATAAGTACCCTGACCTACCCCCCTCCCAGCCCTCCTGTCATGTGAATCGCCCCCACTGCCACCATCACATGGATGATACCATCTCCCTTGCTGTGTAAGCCCTCCCCCTGCTGCCACCAGCATATGAGATACCCCCCACACATGAGAGCAGCATGAGCCCCTACCCAAGGCCCCTTGTGGGTAGTAAGCTCACTGGGCTTCCCACCATGCTACCCAGAGCAACAGGAGCAGTGGCAGCCAAGCAGCAGCCAGGAAGGAGCCAGGGTGCCCCTCACATCTGGTCCAGAGGTTGCCAGGTAGACAGCCCTTTCCTACTCTCACAGATTTCAACCGTATTTGTGTTATGTGCTCTGTATTACATCTTAAACAAGTACATTAAAGAAAGGAGCTGATCTAATTTAATAAGAGACTCACTTGAGTTTGGTAGTGAAGAATTCAAAAGCTTGTCTAAGTCTAGCCCAGCCATGTAACTGCTCCAATAAAACATATCACCCACAAAAATCCTTGCCTGTCACTTGTGCATCTTATTTATACTAACACTGAGACATGGGTTCAAGCTTCAGTCTAGATTTTGAACCTCAAAATGTACAATATGTGGACATAAGTTTTGCTTTAGCCTATCCTAAAGATAAGGATTATTTATAAAATTCTGATCCAGGTCCAGGTTCATGAGCTCCCTGCATCAGGTACAGATTTTGGCAACCATTCAAGTTTCAGATCCAGGTTATTTTGTTCAGGATAACAATACATTTTTAAAAGTCAATGTCAGCATTTTAATTCAATTTTATTTTTTATACTCTGAAAGGAGACGATCTGTTAGCCACATTACAGTAATCTCTTTAAAGAAGACTACTTACTCTCTCCTTGATCCACTCCTTCAAAATTGCCCATGTAATTTAAGATATACAAATGATAAATTTAAGCAGGGATTATAACTATGGCTCATATTTTCAAAGTGGAACTCAATTTGGAGCAGCAGGAAGGAATGAGCCCTTATCATTAAACACTAACCAAAATCTATGAAATACCAAAGGGTGATATTCTCATTCTTGTTCTATGCCCTTTTAGGAAAGGTGGAATTGCCTCTTAAGGCTACATCCATATGAGCACAGACATTTGTTTCCTGAGGGACAAGCAGCAGCAGCACACCTGGTGCCACTGCTACTCGTCCCCAGGGAATGCCTGTGCCATGCACCCTCTGCTCCTAGTAGCCTTACCTGGGGGCTGGGGAAGCTGCAGCTGTGGCAATCCTGCCCCTCGGAGCCTAGCCAGCAGCTGGAGTGTGGCTCCAGCCAGCCAGGCTTCAGTTTCAGACAGCGTGCACTGTCCCACTTTTTTTTTTTTCACGTGGTTTTTTTGACCTCAGGATCTCCCAGGGTCAACCCCCGCACACTGCTATCTTGCAGCACAGGAAACACCTCAATGTGCGGTGCAGTGCCGTAGATGGATCTATGGCACCACATACTGCACAGCCATGCTCGTCCGGACATGGCTTAAAAGGCCAGATCTGGTAAGGTAAAAATCCTCTCGGTGCAGAAACTACGGAAGATAAAAGCAGGCTCTTCTCTAAGGATCCATTTATATGTACTGTGGAAGGAAGCATGCCGGTGAGAGGAAGGGTTTGTCAGCACTAGATTAGTAGCATACATCCTCTAATGATTCCAGGCAGCACCGCTGTCCAAAGGTGAATGGAAACAGGCTGATATAAATTTGGGTGGCTACTTAAAGCTGTCTAAATTAAAAAGGGGCTGTTCTGCCACAATAGCCAATCCTCACTTGGGCTAAGAGTTTGTGCTGTGCTGCTTTGGGGGGCAGTAAGAATCTTACCAAGCATGTTTATCTTCTCTTTTCATAACCCAATAAAACCTTAATAACTTTGGCTCCACTCACCTGAAGAACGTATGATGTTCTACACAGCATTTCCAGAGATGTTTACATGCGCTTTTGTTTCGGGCTTCAAAAAAGAATGAAGTTTCATTACACTGAAATAAAAAGTGGCAATACTATTATGAAGGATTCTCCCTAAAGGGTGGAATTTCATTTGCTGAACTTGACACATGGGACCTAATTGTATTTTTTCTTACACCAGAATATATTGGCTGGGGGCACACGCTGCTCATGATCAGATGCCTGCCTCCTCAATTTGGGTAGACCTGTAGCTATAAGAACTGCCTATATAACACAACTTCTGTGTTCCCAGTGAGAATTCATTGTCAAACCTGACCTTAAGTTAAGCTGTAAATTTCCTTTGGGAGACTTCCCTCAAAACCCACCCTAGGTAGCATGCAACCTATATATGGCAGTATGTTCTGAAAATCAGTCAACTGTGCATATTTACCACAAAAGAATTTCAACCTGAAGTGCTCAGCTAGTCACCAGATAAAAACAGGGAGAAAAGGATCCCGCTTTCTGTAATGTTGACAACACAGATGAAGATTTTCAAAAAAATGCATACCTACTAGACTCTTAGGTCATATTCAGAAGCTTCTGCTCAGCACCTTTACAAATCTGGGCAAAGGGTGCCTATACACATGCAGCAAGGCTGCTCCAGCGCAGTGTAATTTCAGTGAATTGGAACAGCCTCGATTAATCAAGTTTGCTGGAGCGTGGTAATTACCACACTCCAGCAGACTCCAGTGTCACGTGTATCAGTGTCCCTATGCTGAAAAATGGTGGCAGGGGGCGTTTTACCTAAAGCCTGTTTAACAAGCTTTAGTCAAAGCGCCTCTGCCTCCACTTTTCAGTACAGGGATGCTGATACACGTGATGCTCCGGGCACTTTAATTAGAGTCGCTCTCGGAGCCACTCTAATTAAAGCATACCCCCTCCCCCCCACTCCCAGAGTAGGTGTATAAATGCCCAAAGTGCCTAAATGAAGAATTAGAATCCTATTTTTAGGCTTTTTTTTTTATTTTAACTGATATTAAGTTACGATTTTGAGATTAATTACAGTATTTATTTTCATCAAACTATAAATTCAAGACCGTTCAACCACAAAACATTTCAATATAGCTGTCAGTCAACTTATTAAGAACTCACTTCTGTTGCTGGTATTCACATTTAGTAATACCTGACTATACTATTAGTCCCACTGACTTCAGTGCGACTGCTCAGATAGTAAAAATCTCTTCAATGTGAATAACAGGCATATACTCCGGTCCTGAAAACAATAAACTAATGATAGATAAAAGCATTTTCAAAACAGAATTTCCCCATTTTTAGCAGTTGGTTTTATAACATGGGTGTTTGCATATAAGGGCCACATCCACATGAGCGGGGTGTGTATTTGCAGCAACACAAATAGTAGCAGCATAAATTTGTGCTGTTACTTTGTGCTGCACTACATACCCCCCCCGCTTGTGCGGTTTGTAGCAGGACACACTGTCCCACTGCTCTGCAGGGTGGGCTGGTTGGGGCACAGAATGCCTCAGTGTGGGGCTAGCCAGCAGGCAGCCCCACAGTGAAGAGCCCTGTGTCCCAGCCAGCCAAGGAGCAGCATGTGCAGACAGGGAAACAGGTACCCCCCGTCTTGAGCCACCCTGCACCTCAGCCAGCTACTGCCTGGACAAGTCTGGATCCAGCCAATGGGCACATGTATGCTTTTATAAAGTATAGGCAGGTTTTCACAAATTTTCAATTAATTAGCTATTTTGATTTGCAAACAAGCTTGCAAATTATAAACTGATTTAAAGCATTCTTCAGAACCATTCCTAAAGGGAATTTATGAAGGTTACAGATTACTTGCTTGAGATATTTGCTTCAAATATGAAACAAACAATAATAAAAATGGGATTTTGCACCTATGATTAGAATCATCTATGTTTCATTCCTTGATGATAAACAAAGTGAAACACATCAATGTTATTTATTCATTTAGAAAATGTTACTTATATTTTTCCACTGAAAAAGTTAATTTGACAGCTTGAACACTTAGGTAACAGTTCGCGGGGGGGAAAGCGCATTTAAAACCTACACCCAAAATACATTTTCTATTTCATTAAAACATTACAGCAAAAGTGGGTCCCATAGTATGAGTCACTGCATGCAGCCCCAGGAAGCTAGAATCTATTCAAAAGAGACTGCTATAATATAGAATAAAAACAATACTTATATTCTTTGCAATACGGCCCAATAATGATACGTTCAGGAAAACATGATCTCAGGGTCGACAGAGGTCTGGGGAAAACAAGCTGATGAATTGAATACTCCCACAATGAACATGCAAAAGATTTAAATTGCTGTTTAGAGAAAACAAAACTCTAGGAAGTGAACACACTTGGGAAAGAAAAAACAAGCCATTTAAGAATTGTGGGTCTTCTTGAGAACAGTGAGAAAAGAAAATGGAATGTTTCCATGGTACAATAACTTCAGGATCTTTTAAACTAGCAGGACAAATGGGACCAAATTCTTTGATCTATACCAGGAAATTCGTTGGGAAAAAATAATTATTTATGCTGAAATTCTTAAGAATAAACTTGCAGTATGGGAATCTCTGAAAAATCAAAAAATATAGAAGTCAATCAACAGCAATATCATTTTCACTCTAGAAGTAGGATTTT